AATAGATGTCATCTTCCGACCTGTTTCTCTCTCTCTTTGCATATATACCAAACTGGAAACACCTTTTCAACAAATCTCAGAAATCAACTATTTGAGTTCCTCAAGCTTAGATATATTGGAGAAGAAAACCTTCAAACTCTTTCTCAGATTAATCAAAGCACATTCACAGGCTTCCTTTTGATTTTCAAATCTTTTCAGCTTCAGCTATCTTACTTTCATCTTTGGGAGAGGTCTTTGGATCCGGCTTGGAAGAAGCAAGCATACTTTACACACAAATTTTCGAATCATATAAATGAAACCTTTTGCCTACATGCTTTATCAACACATAACTCACATGAACCAGGTTTTTCTTCTCTGAAGATCATGATGCTATGGATGTCCGGCTTTGTTGACCGTCGACATCGTATAACAAACCCATGAAACTCATTCCCTTCATTGCTTCTCTAGACTGAAACATACTGCCATGTTCGACACAATTCCAAGCTTCCTTTATAAAACAAAGCCTTAGAAGTCTCTCAAATAACCGATCTGAAATGCCATCATTCAACTATGTTCCCGAACTTCGAATCCTGTGCCTTTCTATCAGAAATTAACTTCTCACATCTAGAATGTCTCTGCAAAAATTCAACTCATTCCGAGTTTGTTTGGTCGCTCATTTGATGTCTCCACCGGAACTGTTCAAAACTGATATTTCGAATGGACTGATTCCGGAACAGATTGGAAGCGCTTGAATAAAATGCAATTCAACCGTCAAAACTTCAATCCCACCGTTGAATCTCAAGCCCGTAATAACACAAAGCTCCCCATAAAATTTCAGCATGATCAGATTACTCTTGGATCTCCAAACCTTCTGTTGAAGATGCTATCTTGAAACAGATTTCTGTAATCTTTTCCAGATCAATTAATAATCTTCTTTCCCTTTATGATGCAGTTTAGATCCTCTTCACCTTCACTCTTCCAGACTGAAAAACCTTAACTCATATCTTCCTCAAATTGAAACACTCCACCATCAACATGTTCCTAGAAAACGTAAAACTGTCCTCAGTAGAACCTTGAAGCAATATAAGTCCGAGTATACCACAACGAATGAAAAATGCCCATCTTGACAAAATCTTCATGAACATATGCTGTCACAAAGTAAATCTTGCTTTCATCACCATGATTTTGAATCAACAACAGAGGCATCATTCCCAAAATTAAAGAACACTTGAACTGAGCTTCTTGATCTGTCTTAATGCAGAACACAAACGGAGTAGCAAACTAACCCAGAAAATTTTGAAATTTTGCGGCAATATCAACAACAGCCATATGAAGCCGCAGGAAAAAACGGATCACGATTTGGGTTTACCGTTTGAAAGTTATGAATGATTTCCCAAGACAGATCCAAAATGCTATAAACCTGCGAGCATGCAGCTTTGGGAGCAATTTCCCATCAAACCACGAGGAACCAGATGACGATAATTATTTCCTTGGAAAAATCTCACTCTCAAGATTTCAGAGCATCCTTCAGAGCTAAAATCCAAGGTCTGTAGCCGAAGAAATGTAGGAAAACACCATGAGACGAAAACTGTCTTTGAAACCTGAAACCTTCTTTATCATTCTTCCTCTGAGTTACTTTTCTCGACTTGAGTTGCATCAAACTTCTTCTGCATCATTCTTTGATTGCTTTACAACTACCAGCGCATCGGCGTGTTTTTTTTTTATTTTCTTTTATTTTTTTTTTTCGCTTTGAACAAACACAAGAACATTAACAAGCTCTTGGAACACGTTCTTGGAACACTCTTCTCCCCCTTGTTGATTATGTGCTTCAATCAGCACAATCAACATAACTCCAAGAGTGCTTACCAAATGGTCGAAGCTCTTATATAAGCATAATCAAATGGTCGAAGCTCATGTTATGTCCCCTACATCTTCAAATTAGGAAAAGAACAACAAGAATGATACTCATATGCACATATGCCTTTAAAACATCATCAAGGGAAAATTCTGCTTCAAGATTCCAGCAAGATTAAATATCAACTTGGACAACATCTCTCTCAGGCATTTCGTCGAGCACATGGTGAGCAAGACTCAAACTTCCTCCCCATTTTGTATAAAAGACTAGCAGAAGTTATTTTTCAAAAACAGAAAAAACCAAATCTATGAATATTGGTTCCATCTCTCAGACCATCACTGTGACTTTCCTCACGCTTTGACACAGTCATCATTGCTTCTCAACTTTTACGCCACATGACTCTGTTGGCATTATGAGCACGACTTCATCTTTAACCTAACTTCAAAAAAATTACAACTGAGCTTGCTTCTTCCTTGTCGATATCAACTCAACACACAATTCCCTCATAAAGACGTGAATCGAATTTTTGATTCTTTTTGACCGAACCATGCTCTCTTGGTCCAAACGACACAATTAAAGACCATATTCCATAGGCTCCATTTTGATTCACCTTTAATTCAACACGGCAAGGACCAATAATTCCAATAATTCTTCTATGAAGCTCTTTGCTCTTGGTTTCAATGTTCCTCTCCCCCTTGTTGATTGTGTGTCTCAATAAAGCAATAAGCTTTCAAGTAAGGACACACGCATTCAACACAAATTGTTAAACCCGCATCAAAAACCCAAGATACACCAAATCAACGATAACCTCAAAGTTAGTTCCGGAACGCAACGATTCTCAAGCAGCTCAAAACATCAAAGAAACTCAAAAACCTGAAACTCAAAATCAGAACTGTGCAGGGAAAAACCATGATGCAAGAGTAATTGCCACAACATGCCACACAAGCTTGAGAAACCAATTTCTCTAATCTTCATCTTGCTCTGGTTGATATTAATTTCCGGATTTGTCAACTTTCTCTACAACCAATCATACTGCTTTTAAAACACGGATGGTAGACCTTTCAAAATCTGACAAACTCAATTTCTGCTCCAAAGAACCATTAAATCCAACGCCAGCCAACATGTCGACAATAGGTCAGCTCCATTATCACAACCATTTTCTCCTCCATGGTTTTTGAAGCTTTGCTTTTCTAGACCACGAGATTCTAAGCGTGACTTGAGAGACGATCTTCCTGTTCACCGGTTTTTGAATCTCCTCAGTTACATAACCAATTTATTGCAATGCCAGAAGCTTGAACTTTCCACATATTGTTGCACGTGAGTCTAAACAGAATTTGCTCCAAGATCAAAATTTATTAGTCCTCTTCTTTTCAATGTAAGTTTGTAGACAGCCTCCTGATCTCATAATCATAGCAGATCACTTCATGAACTCTTCTTCTTTCAAGACCTTGAAGCTTTGATTAAATTCTGAGATGACCTCGTTTTCCTCACAGAGAAGATTCTTACACATCATCTTTAGAATGAGACCATCATTCACTGAAACACGTGATGTTGACAATGTCCGGATGTTGACCGTTGACATCGTACACCACCACTTCACTATGTAGCTCTAATAGACTTCATTTGTTCAAAGCAGAACATGATAGAAGCATGATCTACTACTAACATCATCTTTATCTCGCGAATCTGCTCCATCATGTCTACCATGCATGTATCTTTCTCTTGACCAAGATCAGAACCTCACACCATAAATCTTCGTCTTTCTTTACCCTTAGAGACGCAGGACCAAGACGCACTCCAGATTCCGATCAGCAACTATGAGCAACCGGCGACGATTTCTTTGCCGATAATCCTCTCTAGGAACCAACGGAGCTGACAACCTTATATCTTCTTTCACTTAGATCTTCAATTTCACAAGACTAGAAGAGAAATTAATCAAACTCTCTTTTTATTCCAATCCGTTACAAATTCAACTCAATTAGGAAGACCAGATTCACTGTGTTTCACGTTCTTCCCCATGAACACGCATGGCATCAAACTAGAGCGAGTTGATTCAATCCCACGTTCTTCCGAAACACAAAACACGTATCATAACCCACAACAATGGCAATTAGACACCGGAGTCAACATGAGTCGATCAATTAGGCCTCCGATTTTTTTTCTTTGTCGTTTATGGGATACAGCTTCCATACCTTACACTCTGTCCTCTCCTCGTCAATGCTTCCGCAACACGATTCCGATCAACAACCACCGACTCCTCTAAATCTCTGCAATTTCCGGCGGTTACTTTGTCACCAAACTTGGACTCTCGAATCCATCATACCTAAGAACCTGAGATAATCCCAAATCATAAACGCTTGAAGCTTGCCGTAACGTTCCCAAATTGATTCTCTTCTTAAACGTTCATGAACATGTTTCTTCTTTCTCTCTGCTAGCCACACATCCAGGACCATACCCGAAACGAGAACGGATCTCTATCGAGAACCCGCTCTGATACCAATTGAAATTACTATATGTGTGCTAGATCTATACGTTTGTATGATGAGAGAGTGTAACGAGTTCGTATGTGCATAAAGTAAATGAGACACAAGAGATTTGTTAACGGGGTTCGGTTAACCTACATCCCCGGGACCAAGTCCAGAAACCATTCACTAGAAAAGGCCGCAACCTACAATTGCTATATGGCATCCACCACTCTTTTCTAGAATTACAATGAACGAAAACTACTACTCCTATTGTCTTTTCCGACGAGTATAGCTTCTCAACAAAACCATCAAAAGATCTCTCTATCTTGTTGATGGGGCAACGTCACACACACATGTGTGCCTCTCTCGATAAACCCTAGACGCGCAAGTCTTCATGTTGCCGTCTCTTGGTATTTATATCAAGTGCCAAAAACCCTAGACAACTTAAGCCACGCTTCAAGTCTCTACAAGCAATTGGGCTTAACTTGAACAATGGCCCACGACCAACGTGGCCGTAACATAACATTATGAAAGACTAAATCTCGTTATGATCTTTCGTTCCAACAGCTTCACACCTGTTCCAACAATATCTGCACTTTCAGAAACTGAAATTAGAAATAACCGATTTGATCACATAAGAAGAGGAGGAGAAAGACAAAGTACTTGATAATAATACTAATGATAACATAGACATCAACACATTACAAAGCAAATCTTTCTTCATTAACCAAGCTTGGCAAGAACATTGTTCAAACTCGAGACAGTTTCTGAGTAATACTTCTCAGCATCAGGGCTGCTCTTAGACCTCGCCGCATAGTCCAACTTTCACATAAAAAAAAAACAATATGAGATCAATCCAAACACTCTAACTTCTTCACCAAGAAACCGCTAGAAACCAAAACCCTAACTAAAGAAAAAAAAAAACAAAACTTACGTTGTCGATGGTTTCGAAGAGCTTGCCGGTAAGTTCTTTAAGGTTCTTTTTCTCTTCCTTAGGCTTAGCGGAGATAACGGTGTTAAGATCGTAACGTAGGTACGATGCTCTTAAACGGAGATCGTTCTGAACGTAAGGCCAAGCTTTTTTGTCGATCAGTGACTTAACGTTAATGATCTCTTTAGCAGATTCTTTGGCTCTAGCTACAGCTTCTGTTGGTGACAATGGTTGTATGTAAAATCTGTCTTTCAATGCCAATGAAAAATCTCTTGCTTGGTCTGAGTTATCTGTTCCAGCTGCTCACACACACACAAAAAAATCAAAGCCAAAATCAATCAAACAGAACCGATCTCTAGACATATAATCGAATTAGCAATTACTAAAACTTATATCTTAAAATAGTGATTAAAGATATGTTTGATAAAAAAAACAAAATTGAAATCATAAAACATAGACATATATTTTACATTTAAATCTATATTTTCAATTTGTTTTTTAAAAGATCTATATTTTAAGTTTTAATACAAATAAGGGTGTTCCACTCGAACAAACCAAATCGGTTCAAACCAAACCGCGATTGAACGTAATTTTATTTGGTTTGCATATCTAAACGAAACACAAACAAAAATAAAAACACAAAACATAAACTGAAAATTACTTTCAAAATCCAAAAAAACAAAAAAAAATCGTTTTCCTTACCAAAACATGCAATAATTTCGGTTTGTTTTCTCCTTAACCAAAAAAATACCGTTCAGATTATATTATTAATAGTCAATAATATAAAATTTGATTCAATTAGTATTACTTACGTAGGCCACCGGAAGGAGGTGGAGGACCACCAACTTTGATCGGAATAGCTTCGGCGAAAACAGCTTTAACGAATGAACCACCGGCTAAACCAGCCGCCACGAGCCCGATCACTGATCTGCGACTACTTTCTGGTACTGACTCGTTCTGCTGAGCCCTGATCACAAGTCCGGTTCTCTGAGACCCAACCGTGACTCTTGAGATATTCAAACGGTTTGAGCCATTGATCTGTAGACTTCCTTCAAGGACGGCCTGAGATGCGCCACGTAAGCCAGCCATCGAAGTCACTGCTTGAGCCATTATTTTTCCTGCTTTGAATAATTTGATTAGTGAAGATTCGTTTTGAGTTATAATTTTTGGTGTTTGGTTATGTGACAAAGAAGACCTTATCTTATTCATGTTGTTCTTTAGATTACTCGGATATGGTTTTCTCCACTAATTTGGTTACACGTGTTATCTTGATTCTCTGTTTTGCCACATAGGATTGAGATCGAGTGTAGTCAGAATGCGATTGTCACGTGGCAGCATGACGTGGAAATTGACTAATTCAAACTAAAATCAAAATTTGAAACTTTAAAGCCCTTTCGTATTTTTAACTTTTTAAGGCAAAAAATCTAATTTAACATGCCAGAAAAGTAAGGAAAATAATTGATCAGTTTTAATGTTAATGGGCCTGAGAGTGAGTTAAGTGAATTGGCCCATAAGGAGGAGCCTATACTTTATATAATAATTATTTAAATATTAATGAATAATCATTATTTGTACATTATTATTAGTCAAGAGTAACGTTACAATTTTACAAGAGTCCGCCGATCTGTTTTCAAATATTCAAACGACAGGCTCCTCCTCCTCCCTTGCTCAAATCTTAAATCTCCCAATTAAGAAAAAAAAATCAAGAACCCTAATTTCTCGTCTCAGATTCAGAAAAACAACGTCTGATTTCTCCCGGATTCAATCGGAAGAATCTTCTTCAGTTGGTTCAATCTTTGAAGAAATCCGTTGACGAGCATAAGGTGAAGGATCCATCAAAGATGCCGCTTCGCAACCAGAATCGCGCTCCTTTGCCTAGTCCAAACGTCGTAAGCCTTTTTTCCTTTTTTCTTGGTAGATTTAGATTCTAAAATTCATAATGATATTTTTCAGTGTAATTGTTTGAATTAGGATTTTGTTCCATGGGATTGGCATATCAAATTAAATTATTGGATGCAATTGATTTAAGAAAGTCGGTGGCTTTACTTAAATTTTGATGTTTTTTCTGTTTTGTTTCTCAACTATGTTTAAGAAAAAGGAAGCTCTTTCAAGAAGGAAAGCGGAAACACAAGTTACCGGAAGAAGACAAGTGCTTTCGACAGTGAACAGACAAGATGTTACGGCGAACAGCGATGTGGGCAGCACAGAGGAGTGTGGTAAAGTTGAATTTACAAAAGATGAAGTCTTGGCTTTGCTTAACGAGAGAGCTAAAGCTGGAAAATTTGATACCAAGGTTTGTTATCCGATAACCAATTGTTTGATTCTATGAGATTTTCGGAAAAATCTATGCCGTTGCACTTTAAAAATGTGTTGTCATTGTGGTACTGTAGGGTAAGATTGAGCAAATGACGGATATTATCAAGAAGCTTAAGGTTTGTGTTAGATGGTTCCAACAAGTGGACGAAACTCATGTTCAGGAGAAGGAAAATCTTTGTTCTTCTCTTGAATCTGCAGAGAAAAGATATAATGATAAAGGTGAGTTTAGTTTCCATCATGTCTTGTCCTTACATTAGTTTGTGTACACTGAATATGGACTTGGTTTTCTAATTACTTTCAGAGTTGGATGCAAAGACCAAAGAGGAAGTGCTACAAGCAACTATAGCAGAGATGAAGGAGAAAATAGCGTCACTTCAGGAAAAGTTGTCCAAGGAGGAGTTGAGTAAATTGGTAAGGAACTCAAAGAATCGTTTATCATTGCATAGTTTATCATTTCCCAAAGAGTCTTTATCAAGTTTTGTTTCTCTTAATTGGTTATGACTACTAGGAAGCAATTGAAAATCACCGAAGAGAAAAAGAATTTAGAGTTGCAGCTGAGAAGCTTCAGGATTCTCTCAGAGAAGAGCTGGACAAAGTTAAAGAAGAGAAAATGGCTGCGAAGCAGAAGGTACTTAAGATTTGTTTTCATGTTATTGTGTTTAGGTGTTTCAGTCTCTGGTATTCCTCTTAGCACTTGGCATAATCTTTTGGTTGTTGTGTTAAGTGGATTTCTTTATTCTTTTTGTAGGTAACATCCCTTGAAGATATGTACAAAAGGTTGCAAGAGTACAACACAAGTTTGCAACAATATAATACCAAACTCCAGACTGATCTTGAAGCAGTTCGAGAGGCACACACTCGTGCTGAGAAAGAAAAGTCAAGTATACTGGAGAACCTTACTACACTAAGAGGTCACAGTAAATCACTACAAGATCAATTAGCATCTAGCCGGGTAAATATCCCTGGTCTACAAATGTGATTCTTGCTTTGTGAGTGATATAATTGCTTCTAAATTTGTTTCTCTTTCCTTCTATGATTAAGGTTTCACAAGATGAAGCGGTAAAACAAAAAGAGTTATTGCTGATGGAAGTCAATAACCTTCGGAGCGAGCTCCAACAAGTCCGTGATGATCGTGATCGCCATGTTGTACAGTCGCAAAAGCTGGCTGATGAGATACTGATGTATAAGGAGAGTGTTGGAAAGTCATCGCATGAGTTGGACATTCTGATAGCTAAGTCAGGATCTTTGGAGGTTAGTTCAAAGTCGAAGTTTCGCATCTTTTGCTTCATATTCAGTTTTCTGACAATGTAAATCTTGTGCTGCAGGAAACATGTTCGTTGCAAAAGGAGCGTATAAAAATGTTGGAGCAGGAATTAGCTTTTGCTAAGGAAAAGCTTAAGGTATGTGATCAAGTATACTTTAAAATTTGGATGGGTGATCTGCCAACTTTCAGATACTCTTTAGTTTGCCAATTGTTTCTTTACACTGACATACTTTTAATTTGCTTTCTACAGATGGTAGATGCATCTATGTCTCATACTATGACAGAGTTTGAGGAGCAGAAACAACATGTGCATGAACTGCAAGATCGCCTTGCAGACACGGAGCGTCAACTTTATGAAGGAGAGTTGTTACGGAAGAAGCTTCATAACACCATTCTTGTATGAAAATGTCTTCTTAGAAACATTTTAAGTTCCGGTTACTTTCTTTACGTCCACTAAGGAAAGTTATTATTTCAGGAACTCAAAGGAAACATACGCGTGTTCTGCCGAGTGCGCCCATTGCTACCAGATGATGGAGGACGCCAAGAGGCCAGCGTTATTGCCTATCCTACATCAACTGAATCTCTTGGTAGAGGCATTGATATTGTCCAAAGTGGTAAGATCAGCAACTCACCTTATTTACTTTGCTCAATTAGGATAATATGCTTGTTCTAGACATTAATACATTTGTCATGCCTTGTCATATTTGGGGTTTTCAGGTAACAAGCATCCTTTCACCTTCGACAAGGTCTTCGACCATGGAGCTTCTCAGGAGGAAGTATTCTTTGAAATATCTCAACTTGTGCAGAGCGCATTAGATGGCTACAAGGTTCAATATCTTCCTTGTTTTGACTATCTTGTAGATAGATACCTAATATGCAATTCTAGTTAGATACAAGTATTTGACTCATGGTTATTGTCCTTATTTAGTTGTAGTTGGGTTTATTAAGAGCTCTTGTTTAAGTAAGGCAGACAACAGTTTGACTGATTCCTTTGTTACTGCACCAACTCTTGTCTAAGTGAGACAGACATAACTTTGACTGATTCTTTTGTCATCGCATCTTTCTCAAATCTTTGTGGACACAGGTTTGTATTTTTGCCTACGGTCAGACAGGTTCTGGCAAAACCTACACAATGATGGGCAGGCCTGAAACACCAGAACAGAAAGGACTGATCCCTCGATCACTTGAACAAATATTCAAAACCAGCCAAAGTCTTAGTACACAAGGCTGGAAATACAAGATGCAGGTAAATAGTTCTCCTAAAATGTTCTAACTTTTGTTGAATGCTTTCATTCATACCATTGTTTGGATTGGGTTTTATTTGTAGGTATCAATGTTGGAGATATATAATGAGTCCATTAGGGACTTGCTGTCTACAAACCGAACAATTGCTATAGAATCTGTGCGAGCAGACAGTAGCACCTCTGGAAGACAATATACAATCACACATGATGTTAATGGAAACACTCATGTTAGTGACCTGACAATAGTAGATGTATGCAGCATTGGACAAATTTCCTCATTATTGCAACAGGCTGCCCAGAGCAGGTTTGTCTTTAAGTTTTGGGAATTTTTCTTTTCTTAAAAGGGCATGGCTTTTGAGAATATTGTTACACTGTCGTTTCTGTAATAGTTATAATATGGTAAAACAACTTACATAGCTAAAACTCTTATTTTGTAGGTCTGTTGGTAAGACCCATATGAATGAACAATCATCAAGAAGTCATTTCGTGTTTACTCTTAGGATTTCTGGTGTGAATGAGGTTAATATCTTTTGTCTTTCTGGTTTATGTTTTTGCTGTAGATTTATTTCTCACTTATGAAAACACCAACACTCTCCTATTTCAGAGCACTGAACAACAAGTACAAGGTGTTCTTAACCTAATTGATCTTGCTGGAAGTGAGCGACTTTCAAGAAGCGGGGCAACCGGAGACCGATTAAAGGAGACACAGGTTTTTGCTTTTAAAAGACAGTCTTCTAAGTTATTCCCATTGAGTTTTTGGACTTGCCCTCTAATCTTTGTTATTTACTTCACCAGGCTATAAACAAAAGTTTGTCTGCTTTGAGTGATGTGATATTTGCATTGGCAAAGAAAGAGGATCATGTCCCTTTCAGAAACTCAAAGTTAACATATCTACTCCAGGTTAGATAACATTTTGACTTCTGAATCATTATGCATATGATCTGTCTATCTAGATCATTCTAATTAAGGAGAATTATTTTTAAACAGCCATGTTTAGGAGGGGACTCAAAGACCTTAATGTTTGTGAACATATCACCTGATCCATCTTCAACTGGAGAGTCTCTATGCTCTCTTCGGTTTGCTGCTAGAGTGAATGCATGTGAGATTGGAATACCTCGCAGACAAACTTCCGCTAAACTTCTAGACTCTCGCCTAAGTTACGGTTAAACCTGGTGGTTCGAGTCCCTCTTTCATCTGTATAACAACAACAACAACAATTGTTTTAGAGGTTTGTAATTTCTGATTGTGGTTTTGACATATATTTTTCTGTACCAAGCTCGATCGTTCATATGAATCGGGTATTTTATGTGCTCTATATCTGATTGTTTGAGGAACTTGCTGTCTTGGCAATGTTGTGTGAGGAAATCTCAAAATCTCCCTGATTGTGGTTTCTAGAGCTGTAGCGGTTATGTAACTGTATTTTAGGACATAACTAAATAAGTTCTTGCTTGGTTTCATAAGTTCTTGCTTTGTTTCACATAGTTACAACATAACATTACTGGAACTAATTGGGGAAGTCAACGAGGATGAACAATAGTGATGGAAGAATCGTCAACAGACAAAGGCAAAGACTTGCTTGCTGCAGATTGATCTTTAGAATCTCTCATGTTTTGAAGAAGAAACCCAGATCGCTTTGGAATTGGTAAAGTAACAGTGAAGCTGTTCATCATCACAAGAATGTTATCCATTGAAGGTCTCTCTGAAGAATCATCTTGAACACATAACAGTGCAATGTGAATGCATCTGATCACTTCATTTGTTTGAAAATTCCCTCTCATTGCTTCATCTACTAGCTCCAATGGGGAATTCTCCACCCAAAGCTTCCACACCTGCAGATTTTTAGAATGTTTCTGAAAACAGTACTTAAAAACTTTTGAATGGTTATAAATATACTTACGTAAGTCACTAAATCTCCAAGACCATCTTCTTCATAGAAGCTACTGTTCTTTTTGCCGGTTATGAGTTCAAGAATCAAGACTCCGAAGCTGTAAACATCTGATTTCACCGAGTATTGCCCGTGGATTGCATACTCGGGAGACATATAACCACTAAAGAGAAAACTTCTTTAATCAAAATGGGAAATCGAATAACTCACTGAATCGTCAAGATCACAAGAGGAAGAAACAACTTACTATGTACCAACGATTCTTCTAGTATTGGCTTGAGTTTGATCAACACCAAAGATCCTCGCCATACCGAAATCTGAGATCTTCGGATGCATGTCTGCATCTAAGAGTATGTTACTCGCTTTAAGGTCACGGTGAATGATCGTAAGCCGGGAATCTCGATGTAAATATAGTATTCCTCGAGCTATCCCTTCAATGATCTTGTACCTTCTTTGCCAATCCAAAACTCTTCTCTTCTCATTATCTACAAACACAAAAAACAATCTGACTAACCCGAAAACCGAAATTTTCTTTAGAGGAAATGAGTAATGATTTGTTATACCGAAAAGGAAATAGTCGAGGCTTTTGTTAGGAACAAACTCATAGACAAGTATTTTCTCTTCTCCATCTAAGCAATATCCCAAGAGCTTAGCTAGATTCCTGTGTTGTAGCTTTGCGACTACATCAACTTCGTTCTTGAATTCTTCAGCTCCTTGTGTCGATCCTTGAGATAGTCTCTTTATTGCTACTGTTTCTCCGGTTATAAGCTGACCCTGAAATGGGTTTTACACAGAAGAGTTAAGCCTTTTTTGTTTTATTAAAGTATGACTATGATCACAAGAATTAGTTACCTTATAAACTTCACCAAATCCACCATGACCAAGCTTATTACTTTCTGAAAACTTATTTGTCGCTGCTTCGATTGCACTAAACTGGAATTGCAGTGTTTCTGTTGACGTAATACCATCTTCATCTACATTAAGAAAGGGGAATTCTCAAGATCAGTTTCAATAGATTAGACTAGAAAATGACAAAATTAGCTCAATTCCTTTTTGGTTTTACCTAAATCCTCTGTTTCAGCACTGAGCTTATTCCTTCTTTTTGCTAGTAACCAACACATAGCACCAAGAAGTAACAGGCAGACAGAAACCGGTACAGCGATCGCGGATACTATAACCGTAGAGCTCTTGCCTTTCCCTAAACACAATATCAAAAACATATGAAACAGAACAACGTTTTTACTAGATTATGTTTTTACGTTCATCAAGAAAACTATCTTGGAGATTTGTGTTCTATTAAATTAAACCCTTCAACCAAAAAAAAAAGCAGATTCTGTTTTCAAGATCATTAAGGAAACTATCTTTTTTGTGTTACTTTTAGATTAAACCTTTTAAACAAAGACTCTGCTTTTTAAGATCATCAAGCAAACTATCCTGGAGATTTTTGTTTCTATGAGTTTCAAGATTTCACCTTTTTCTGATGGAAGTTTCAGCGGTGGTGCAGCCACCGTTGACGGAGGAGGAGCCATCGTAGCCGCAGCTATAGTTTCATTGTAAAACGGATAAAGCTCATATCTAAAGCTACAACTCGGAGCGATTACTCTCCCGCCAACACTTCGATCACAACATCTAGGCAACCAATTAATCGCTTGTCTCAAACAGCTCTCACAATCTTGATTGGTCAAATCCGGCGTGCACTGCACGAGGCTATAAATCGTTTGAAACACCGTGAAATTCGCTTTCTCTGTAGCGAACTTTCTCGAGCTCAAAGCCGCTTTCACCGCAACGTCGATGAGCAGAGCAGGCAAAGACTCGGTGAATCTGCTCACTTGATTCTCTGTGATGTTTTGCTTGTTCGTCAAGAAAACAGCAGGTCTAATTCTCATTTGCCCTACGATGCTTTGATTAGAGTATCTTAACATACACTCATCGTACCAAATCACTGCCACTTTCTCTCTTGGACACCTGTAAAGCGTTTCGTTGACCGCAAACGCAAGGCAATCACGGCAGATTTCGGCTGAGACGTCTCCACGGCAGAGGAAAAGGCCGTAGACTCTGTTGTCATCATTCTCTTCACCAGCGGTTGCGTTATCGAAAAGCGAGGCATAAGCTGCGTTTGGAGAGGAGAGAGATGAAAGAACAGTTCGGAGATTTGTTAAGTAAGTGCTGTTTCTTGAGAATGTTGTTGTGTTTGGACATATGTGGTAGAGATAAATTGGATTTGTTGCAGAAGAAACAGTTTTTAAGATCATAAAGAAGAAAATTGAGATCAGAGAAACAGAGGATCTGAAACAAGAAGACATGTTTTGTTTTTTTTATGCTCTGTTTTTGTTCTTCTTCTTTTGAGTTTCTTAATAATCTTCATTGAAATTGAGGGGATTCAAAGTCTAATTTCTACGATTAGTCATTGATGATTAAGATTGTTTAATGAAATATTATTATGTTCAAGCTTCAATATTCATTGGTAAGGCCTGTCAAAGATAATGAAATAAAATGTTATGTTGTAATCATTGACATAATTATCTGATTAAATAAACAGATTTGGTCAAAGGTTTTGAGAATCATAAAGATATTTATAATTCATCGTTTCAAGATTGTTTGTCGAATAAAATATTTCATGGAAATGTTGATTTTTAGTTTTGAAAAAAAAAATCCAGTTAGTTAATTTGTTTTCTTAAAATGTTGATTTTTTTGTTAAATATTTGTTTTGTTAAAGAAAAAGTTTAAAGCTTTGCGAGGGAACAAACAAAAACAAAAAAGTTCAAAACTTTTGGCTTTTTTTTAGTCGCGTCGTTAAATTTCTTCAGTTTCTTCACAATCTCTATAAGGGTTGACTATATGGCGACTAGTTTGCGAAGATTTTTCTCAGTGTCCACTCATGGCGTCCTTATGAGGAAGCGACCTGGGTTTTTCTCTAATAGCCGAAATTTATGCGTTTGCTCTGATCAATCAACTGAATCCGTCACTGTTAATGTTTCTCCAGGTAACGGTTAGTCTCGTTAAGAATCTATCCCTTAAAGGTTTGACTTTTGTTTGCATTTAGCTCATCAAGTCATCACGTACGCCAGGTGTTTGTTGAAATGCCTCTGAGAAAATTATTGCATTATTTTGAAAAGCTTACAATATTAAGAGTCTGGAATGTGACATTTAGATGGTGAAACTTGTTTTATGTGTTAAGATGGTGAAATTTGTTTGTATTATATGTAATGGGTTGTTGATGATATACTTCTTGTGTTTTGTTGTAATTGTCAAGATTAGAGACAAGTAGTGGAGGTAATGTTGACAAAGGGTTTCTAAGATGGCGAAATGGAGGAGGAATGTACCATAGCTCGGCCGTTATTGATTCCTCGGCTCTGGTTGAGTTTGGAGCAGTGGTTCATGAGAAAGCTATATTAGGTCCAGAGGTTCGTATAGGATCTAACACTGTAGTTGGACCATCAGTCGAGATCGGTCCTTCTACAAAGATCGGGTAACAGTTTTGCTTAACGTCTTATACAAGTTTTTGAAGAGAATCTTGAAAGATTCTATTCTTGTCTACAGGTATAGTGTTTCAGTCAGCAATTGTAGTATTGGTGATTTATGTGTCATCCATAATGGAGTCTGCATTGGTCAAGATGGTATGGACCAAGTCTGAATTTCACTCAATATGCGTTTTATTTATAAGATCAGATTTCTATGTTTTCTTCTTTATCTTCTGAGAATTGGGATTGGATTGTGAGATTTGTCTTTGACTGTTCAGGATTTGGGTTTTACGTGGATGAACACGGAAACATGGTGAAGAAGCCTCAAGTAAGCACACCTAGATTGCCTTCTTGAATCTGAATAACAATTTGCAGCACTTTTATCATTCGGTGTTTTTCTTGCCTTCCTTAGACTTTAAATGTGAAGATAGGGAATCGTGTAGAAATCGGAGCAAATACATGCATTGACCGGGGCAGGTAACAGTATATTTCATTGACAAGTTCCCTGTAACACTCTTCTTTAGCTCCATAACCTTTACCATTTCTGCAGCTGGAGAGATACCGTGATCGGGGATGACACTAAGATAGACAATTTAGTTCAGGTTCGTCTTCAATTCTATCTTGCAACTCGTTGTAGATCATAGTAATTGACAACAATATGCTATTATTCTTTACTTAAATTTGCAGATAGGTCACAATGTGATTATTGGCAAGTGTTGCTTGTTTTGTGGCCAAGTAGGCATAGCTGGATCAGCAGAGTAAATGCATCTAATCCCAGCAACCAAATAACTTATGTTCCATTGATTGAAATTGTAAGCTTCTGGGGTTAACAATGCTGTCATTTCGACAATGTGTTTTGTAGGATTGGTGACTATGTAACATTAGGAGGACGGGTTGCTGTTCGAGACCATGTCTCCATTGTATCTAAGGTAAAAACTTGAACTTCATAAATGGAGTAATGAATTTGCTGTGCTTCATCTAAATCCGTGTTTGGTTTTTGGTTATAGGTTCGACTTGCTGCTAATAGTTGTGTTACTAAAAACATTACCGAACCAGGGGATTTTGGCGGCTTTCCTGCTGTAAGCATCTCTCTTTCTCTTCTATTGACTCTCCACTTCCATCTAATTTTCCAGCATTCATCAAGATCCAAGTTTGCTTCGATATTTTGTCATGAACCAGTCAAAATAAAAGCCTAAATTGATCCATACCCAACTAAAACAGAGCCGGACTCTGCTGTTGCTTCCCTTATACATTGTTTCGTCTTACAAAACTGTTCTGATTGCAGGTCCCAATTCATCAATGGAGAAGGCAAATTGTTGAAGCCCAGATTTCGAGGAAGAGGAACCCATAACTTATTCTGTTCGCCAGTCTCAGAAAACTTGAGGTAATCTGTTAAAGTATCTGCCAATTGCTTTGAGTTTTTACTTTTACCAAATCTTTTGCAAATGTTTCTTTGATATGTTTAACTCAAAGATCATACATTTAATGAGAAAAACCAAACTCCCAATTCCAAGTTACAAAACGTAAAGAAAGCAAAATCATTCAAAAGGAAAAGTAAAATACAAAAGAGAAAACAGCAAACAACAAACCAATGAATTAATCAATCTAAGTGAAGTAGACTGGACACCGTTTATGGTTAAACTTGGGCAAGATCAACCCGTCTCGTCCAACCACGATATCGCAATTAGCATGCATCCTATGGCGCTTACTGATCCACCTATGGAGTTTAAACCGAATATTTGAAACTATATCTAGCCTAAACCCCACGGTTCCTTGAGCCCGATCATTAGTAAACTCGGTCCAACGGTTACTGTTTACTGTTAAGGAAGCTCCAGTAAGCGTCCCGGTCACAATTGTTGTGTTAGTCGGCTTCTGGAAAAACGGGTTTAGCAACGGGATCGACCCGACCCGTTGATCTTTGTAGTAAATGAAACCGTCCATGGAATCAAAGTAAACACCCATATGTTGGTTAGGGTTAAGTATAGTTACATTGAAAGCAATTCTTGCGTTTTCGACTCCGGTAGGTTGGTCTAGACCTTGTACCACGAAGTCTTGGATATGGAACCGAGGTCGATGAGGGCGTAAACTGAGCCAAAGTATGAAAGCAATGACGCCTACAAAGAACAAAACCAAGAGAAACATTGCACAGATGAATTTCGATATCCGGGTTGAGAGGCTTTCTCTGACACGGTGAGCGTAGTAGCTAGCCGAATGGTGACGCTTCATGGGTTGGGCTCGGGGCACGGGACTGGTATGGATGGGGATAGTTGTTCGGTCTGGTGTCATTGTGCTTTGATGATTTTCTGGCGAAAAACTATGGTAAATTTTGAGAATGAAAGTTTGGAGTGTATGAGTTATGTACGAGGAAGAAAAGTAAATAGTTCTTGAAGTGTAGGAGTTATGTATGAAAGAAGAAAAGTAAATAGTTCTTGAAGTGTTTGGAGAAGAAAGGAATCAGATTACGTAAAGTGAACACATTGTATCGGAAACTTTAAAAACCCAAGAAGGCTCTATATGGGCCAGGTCCATTTGATGATATGAGAATAAAACACTTTAGACCCGTTTACCAACTTGATACAAAAATCATTACGCAATGCAATGATGGTATGACTATGAAGAGGAAAAAGACCATGCAAGACAAAAACACATTAGTGTTTGGTTTAGACCTTTTTTTATTTAGTGAATTCTTCTGAAAAACCATACCCAAAAACAAAACCGAAAGTAAGTTTGCTTATTCTTCACTTAAGTCAATTAATATCCATTAACCATAAAAAAAAATAAAAACAATCGGTTAAGATATACGGTTACAAAAACTTGAATCAAGATTTCCACACATATTTTGTATTTTATTACTATTCTCAAGATTGTAAATATTTAAGAATCCATGGAAATAGGTCGTTTTAGTTAACACTTACACATTATGCGGAAACTTTAGTTACAAAAAGTCCGAATTTAATAGCATCTTCTCTCATTTCACTCTTTCTTCATCAGTCTCTACATTGATCTTGAAACATACCATTGATACAATTATGGATGTGTTCTTTGAGACTCGGAGTGGCTTCACGTTCGAGATTGAATTGGGTTATTGGGATACAGTTTTGGAGATCAAACAGAAGATCGAGAAGTATCAACAAATCCCTGTTTCCAAACAAACCCTTTTCTTTCAAGGCAATGTTCTTCAAGATCATCTTAATATCGAACAATGTGTGATCCTCAACCACTCTCGTATCCAACTTTTCATCTCTTCTCCCGACCAAAACCGTAACAATCAAGTGTTCAAAACCGAGCAATCTCCACAGTCAAACTCAAAAGAACAGATCACTAATATTGGTCATCAAGATTCACCTGTGACGATGCCAATGAGCAACAACAACAACAACAACCCGAAGAAGCTGAGAGTAATGGTGCTACCGAAATGCGGGACTAGGAAGATTCCGGTGGAGGTGAACGCAGGGGATAATGTTGGAGAGCTGAGGAAAGAGTTGGCTAAGATTCAACAGAGGTTACAATTAAGTCTGCCTCAAGAAGGGTATTTCTTTATATACAAACAGAATGTAATGGACGAAAACCGGTCATTCCGGTGGCACCGTGTTGATCACGGCGACACGATTGAGATTTTCAACGGAAGTGTTTCCGGTGGCTCTTAATACCCTACAATCTTTAAGCTCAAGTCTCTGCAATCTCCTCATTCTAGTAGCTTTCAGTCTTTTTTTTAAAAGTTTCTTGCTTTCTTCTAAATTGTATTTTCGTTTCACTGCTTTCTACAAATATGCTTAAGAAGATCTATGACAAGTAATTTTCGTGTAGGGTTAATAAATGGCTCGGATCTATATGTTTCTAAAAGCGCAGCGTTTTGACCATAAACGAGCCATTTATTGACTTAGGAAACACGTAATTATAAGCATTCTTTTTCATTGACTTTAGAAACACGTAACCTAGAAGGTTAATTTGGGCCAAGCCCAAACAAGGTACATTTGTAACGTGAATTAAATGATATAAACCAGATTATGATTCATCAGTCTCTCCACTTGATCTTGAAACATCATTGATACAATTATGGATGTGTTCTTCGAGACTCAGGATGGCTACAAGTTCGAGATTGAATTGGGTTACTGGGATACAGTGTTAGAGATCAAACAGAAGATCGAGAAGTATCAACGTATCCCTACTTCTAAACAAACCCTTGTCTTCCAAGGAAATGTTCTTCAAGATCATCTTGATATCGAACAATGTGTGATCCTCAACCACTCTCTTCTCAAAGTCTTCGTCTCTCCTTACAATAACCCTAATCACAACAACGATCAAATGCTTCACACCGAGAAATCTCCACCGTTAAACTCAGGCAAAGAGATCGTTAACGTTCAAGATTTTGCCTGTTATGGTGAGAAGCAGCAAGAAAGTCGCGACGAGCATAAAGGTTGGGAGCAACGGTTCGAACCGAGCAATCTCCAGCGTCGTTAACGCTCAAGATTCCCCTTGGAACCCTGTGAAGCTGACGTGTTGATGCATCTAGATATTTGGAATCTCCCAATATCTTTCATTATTATCTACAATATATTTTTTATTTATATTTTAGTTATAAGTTTAGATAATTATAAGATTAAATTAGATTTTATCTAGGTTTTGTTTTTTTTTTAATGATCATGATTTTATAAGATTAATTTTTAGAGTCAATCTAGGTTTTTGATCATTGTTTCATGCAACTTTTGATTAATTGAGATTTTATAAAAGAGCTTAAAAGTCATTTTAGTAGAACGATACAATTAAGATTCAATTTGTAGGGAAATTGTACTTTTCCATACTTGGAACAAAAACTATGATACATTATACAACAAAAATGTTATGTAAACAATTTCAGTCTTTCCTGAAGTTAATTGCATCACAAAATTCGTTTTCTGTTTCACAGCTTTCCGCAAATATTCTTTTAAGAATTTTGAGCTGAAACTTGTTGTTATTATTGAGTTGCCTCTTGTCAAAAGCAGCGATCAAATTTAGCCTTACGCTATGCATTCACCAAAAAAACTTTCCCTGGTCTAATTGACATTTCTGAAATTCCTCAATGATCAGGCATATAGAGAAAGTATAATAAGATCAAATGTCATATCATTCTTGACAAGAAGGGCAAAAGGTAGATTCTGTTATGTTTAGCAAAAGCTTTGGAATAATGCAGAAAAACTTGAATCAATTTGGAATATTTCGAGATGTATGAATATGTTTTGTTGATACTCTAAGAGAGAGAAAAAAAAAAAAAAAAAACTTGCTTCCTGTAAATTATAGTTTACATTTCTTCAATAGAAATTCAGAAATAGTTCAGATGACTTATGAAAAAAACTCTGATCAAATCAGAATCATAATAATGATGGCTTATTGTGTTTATGACTTTATCATTTTTGTTTCAACTTGATCTGCTCAAAATTGAATTTAACTAGGAACTTGTGATTTTAATCACCAGTAAATCAATTTTCTTTATTTAGAGGCAAAACAACAGTAGAAATTAAAAAAAAAAAATCGTAAAACCCTAACCGAAAACTTCTCTAACAAGTTACATTTTAATTAACATGAAGTGAGAAAAGAAAAACTCGGATATAAGAAATACGACGAAGAACAAAGAAGAATTGCTATAACAACATATCGCCTAAGAAAGATAATTGAAGTTAAAGGCTCTAAAGAAGAATTGCTATAACAACATATGGCCTGAGAAAGATGATTGAATTGTTAAAGGCTCTAATTGGTTGCATTTTTAGATGAATATTTTATGATTATAAAAACAATTATTCAAATTTTACCAAATAAGATGAAAAATATATATATAAATTATTCATCCCATTCCATTTCATATATATATATATATATATATATATATATATATACACATTATTCATTTCATCTTATTCCACTATTACTTTTTCATCTTGTTCTTTTAAGTGACAACCATTTGCCTTCAAAGACTTTCGAATTGAAATTTGGGAGGAACAAATACGGGTCGATTTTTTGGGTTAATGGATCATATCTAGTTTTTTTTTTCATAAAACACAGCGTTTAGTTTTAACCACTTCGATTCCTAAGACCACCATTATCCATGGGCTCTTAGCCAAATCTTAAGGTAAGATTTGTGAAGAAAAAGCTTAAATATAAACCTAAAAGCTCTTATATAAGAGCTCTTTCTTCACAAATCTTAGCTTAAGATTTGGCTAAGATTCATTTAAGAGCCCATGGATAAGGGTGCTCTAAGTTCTTGCAAAATGTCACATTTACCATTGGATCATTTTAGTAAGAATATAGCTATTAACGGTTTAGATCTTCGACAAGGCTTTCATTGACTTAAGAAACACGTAACCAAGAAGGTAAACATGGGCCAAGCCCAAATGAGTTCCATTTGATACGTGATATAAAACCAGATTATGAGTCAAAGTACTTAAAACAATCACTTTCTCTCTCTCCACTCTCTTCTTCATCAGTCTTTCCATTGATCTTGAAAGTTGAAACACCATTGATACGATGGATGTGTTCTTCGAGACTCAGAGTGGCGACACGTTCGAGATTGAATTGGATTATTGGGATACAGTTTTGGATATCAAACAGAAGATCGAGAAGTATCAACGTATCCATGTTTCTAAACAAACCCTTTTCTTCCAAGGCAAAGTTCTTCAAGATCATCTTGATATCGAACAATGTGTGATCCACAACCACTCTCGTATCCAGATATTCGTCGAACCTGACCCTAACCCTAATCACAACAACGAGCAAGTGCATCAAACCGAGATATCTCCACCGTTAGACTCATCCTATGAGATCGATAGCTTTCAAGATTCCCCTGTTTCGACGAGCTTGAATCTTGGAAGCAACAACAATGATCATCTGCTTCTACCGGAGAATTTTAACTCATCCAATGAGTTCGATAACTTTCTGGAATCCCCTTTTTGGACGAACTTGATGCTTGGGAGCAACAACAATGATCATCTGCTTCTACCGGAGAATTTGAACTCATCCAATGAGATCGATAACTTTCAAGATTCCCCTGTTTCGACGAGCATGATGCTTGGGAGCAACAACAATGATCAACTGCTTCTACCGGAGAACTCTCTACCGTTAAACTCAGACAAAGAGATCGTTAAGCATATAACGTTGAGAAGCATTCCAATGGTGATGAGACCTAAAGTTCAAGCGCTTCAAACCGAGAAATCTCTGCCGTTAAACTCATCCAGTGATCTCGATAACTTTCAAGATTCCTCTGTTTCGACGAGCATGAAGTTTGGGAGCAACAACAATGATCAAGTACTGCCTCAACCGGAGAGATCTACACCGTTAAACTCATACAAAGATATCGCTAACACTCAAGGTCCGCCTGTGAAGCGTATAAAGTTGCGAGGCATCAACAACAGTCATCGGGAGATGAGGAGCTATAAGACTGCCCCGGGGCAGATGATGTCAGTACTTGTAAAGCCATATTACGGTGAGGGTAGAGTTGGGACGAATATTTTTGTGACTGTGAACACGAAGGATCAAGTGAAAATACTAAGAAACGAGTTGGCTCAAAGCCAACAGAGAGGTGAAATAAATCTGCCTCAAGATGGTTATTTCTTTATGCACAGAAATGAAGTATTGAACGAAGATAGGTCATTTAAGTGGAACGGTGTTATTCCTGATGACTTTGCAGTTGAGATCCGTCCCAGAAATGTGAACCGTGGCTCTTAAGTCACATTTCTTTGAGTTGCAATATTGTTTTTTCATACATAGAATAAAAAGTATGATACATTTTGCAACAAAAACGCTATTATATTGAAGGTTTTAACTCTCTGCAGTCTCCTGTTTTTTTATAGCTTTTAATCTTTCTTCAACTTTTTTTCTTTGTTCAAAGTTTTTTCCGTTTCACAGCTTTCTGCAAAAACATATTCGAAGACATTCTCCAAAAAAAAGTATAAAGATCAAATGTCAAATCTTTGTTGATAAAACACAGGGCAAAATGCAGTAATATTAGCTCGATTAAAACTTTTGCACAAGGAAGTTTTAATCTATTTGAGAATATTTTGTGATATATGCATCCTTCTGTTTTAACTTCTGGTTTTATTGAAGAATCTGTTGTCGAAAGCAGCGATCAAGCTTAGCTTTAAGCTCTGTGCATTCTCCAAAGAAACACTTTTCTATCGGATGATAGCATAGAAGCAGTATAAGATCATATGTCAAATCTTTGTTGGCAAAATTAAGACAGTAATGTTAGCTTGCGACCGTGCTTATCCAGGAGGACCCCAAACCGCATTGCAAGACTAAATACTACAAGCTTGATTTGCTCAAAACAACTAAAAATTGTGCAGATAACTTGACAAAAAAAACATGGTCGAAACAGAATCCTTATAATGCAAGAATATGGCTTATGGTGTGTTTATCATTTTTGCCTCTCAACATTGGATTTAACCAGAAAACTTATGATACTAATCAACAGTACATCAGTTTTGTCTATCTAGCGAGCCAGAACAACCACAAAAACTAGTAAAAGTGGAAAACAGAAAACCCTAGTCGTAAACTTCGATAACAAGTTACAATTAATTCACAAATCACAACAAGAGAAAACAACCATAATCAAAGAAATACAAGAAGAGTTGCTTTGATATGACATCGCCTGAGAAATATGAATCAAGCTAAAGAGTAAATACTGCAGAATCAAATACGCGAGTTGGAATTTGAGGACAAAAAAAATCTTCGACCCATTAAAAACAGAGACGGGTCAAATCTTCGAGTTAATGGGCCGGATCTTATTTTTTTTAAAACGCTGCGTTTCGACCCATTTCAAGTTGTTTCATACACAAACGGTTTAGATCTTCTACGTGGCTTTCATTGACTTAAGAAACTCGTAACCGAGAAGGTTAATATGGGCCAAGCCCAAATGAGGTCCATTTGATACGTTAATTAAATGTTATAAAAACAAAATTCTACGATCAAATGGCTCATCATTTGATACAGTTATGAAGTTTCTCGTCGAGATTATGAATGGCTCATCATTCGAGATTGAAATGGATTACAAGGATACACTGTTAGAGGTTAAACAAAAGATCGAGAGGTCTCAACATATTCCTGTTTCGAAACAAACCCTTGTCGTCGATGGCATTGTTATTCTTCGAGAGGATCTTAATGTCGAACAATGCCAGATCGCCCACAATTCTCATATCCAACTCGACAACTCATGGGATCAGTAAGGTTCAAGATTCGCCGGTGATGGTAAGGAGGCGACAAGAATGTCTCGACGAGCATGAAGATTGAGAGCAACAACAATAATGATCTAAAGATTCGCCTTGTAAATGATCCTTGTGTGGCGGCGTACAAACTTTTATGATCTTGAAATTAGGATTTTGCTACGCAAATCCATATAAAATTTACGTAGTTATCCTTAATAGAATTTGGATCATAATGTTGTGACGGCGGTAAAAATTTTATTATCTTGAAACTAGGGTTTTGTTACACATATCCATATAGAATTTACATATATACCCTTAGTATGATTTGAATTTTAGTGATATTGTAGCAGCGTAAAAACTTTTCTGATTTTGAAACTAAGATTTTACTCTTTATTAAATTATTTGTCTGATAATGAAAAGAAAAGACAAGTTCAAATGGGAACAAGCCCAATATTTCTGTGGAGATTATGATATTTTTACCTCTTCACAGAAAAAAATTAAAATTATCTTTCTGCAACATCTATAGTAATACTAAATCATAATTTTTACCACTTCTAAAATATAGTCCTAAGATTATGGTGTGTTCATCATTTACCTTTTTCAAATCGATTCACGCACATCAGATTTAACAAGGAGCTTGTGATTCTAATCACACCAGTAGATTATTTTTCTCTATCTAACGAGACAGAACAATAACACAATAAAATTGGAAACTTCAATAACAAGTTACATTTAATTGTGAAAGTTACTGTTCATACACTTTGGTTGGAAAGAAACAAACGTAGACATGGAGAATCACCAAGTGCTGCAGACCAAATAATCAAGTTTATTGATCGCATAATTCGCAACAGAATCTCTTCAATCCGTCTCTTGGATCCTCGCAAACTCGAAGATGGACTCCGCTTATAGTTTGAATCTAGGACCTAGTGTTCTTCGTTTTATACTTAGAATTCTTTCAAAACAATATTCGATTTAAGGTTGCATTCATTGTACAAATGACTTAGTTTTTTTGGTTGAATAAATTTAAAATTCATTCAAAAAAAAAAAAAAAAAGTTACATTTAATTCACAACAAGAGAAAAACAACCCTGATCGAAGAACAAAGAAGAATTGCTATAATGGAATTTAAAAGTAATTGGACAAAGATTGTAGAATCATTACACGAGCTGATACTGAGGAAGAACAGAGACGGGTCAACTTTTCGGGCTAATGGGTCGGATCTAAATGTTTCTTGAAACGCTGCGTTTCAACCATCCTATTTCGATTGTGAATCGTAAACAAAAGAATGCTTACTTTACAACCGTTGGATCATATTGGTAAAAGGAACTAACTACGGTTAAGATTCATTCATTGACTTAAAAATGTCCCATATTTAAACACAAGTTATGAGATATTTTTCTCTCTCACTCTTCACTTTCTTCTTCATCAATCTCTCCATTGATCTTGAAACACCATTGATAGAATTATGGATGTGTACTTCGAAACTCAGAAGGGCACAAAGTTTTGCATTGAATTAGGTTACTGGGACACAGTGTTGGAGATCAAAAAGAAGATCGAGAAGTATCAACGTATCTCTGTTCCCAGACAAACCCTTTTCTTCCGAGGCAAGGTTCTTGAAGACGATCTAGTTATCGAACAATGCAAGATTCTCCAAAACTCTCAAATCCTATTCTTCGTCTCTCCGGACCCTAATGACAGCAACGATCAAGTTCTTCAAACGGAGGAGCAACCTCCTATACCGTCGTCAAACTCAATCGGAGATCTCATTTACGGTGAGGATTTGCCTTTGACAACTGAAGTTGTCTTGAAAATTCGACCTTTTTGCCCTGTTGAAACCGATGAAATCACTTACGTTCAAGATTCGCCGGTGAGAAACAACGATCAAGCTCCACCGTCAGACGCAGCAAAACAGATCATCAACGGTCATCAAGATTCGACTGTGAAGGCTCATCAAGAACTTCAAACCAAGCAATCTCCACCGTCAGACTCGTTTAGAGATCACTAACATTCAAGATTCGTCTGTGAAGGTGAGCAAAAACATGAAGAAGATAGTAGTAACAATACTGGTGATGCCGTATTCCGCTGAGATTAGTCTTTCTTGAAGCTTTTATTAGTCTTTTCTTAATAGTTTTTTGTCTTTCTTGAAGTTTCTTGCTTTGTTCCAAGTTTTCTTTCGGTTTCTGTATATATTCTAAGACATGTAATTACCAATAAAGATTTGTTAGCTGGAACTTGTTGTTATTGAATAGTTTTAAGCTCTCTGCATTCTCCAAAAAAACATTTCCGATCGGATGGTCTATATCATATTCTTCACATAAGGAAAATATCAAACAACACAACCAATATGACTTAAAAGGTTATTAGAAATCTAGGAAAGATCGAAAGGAGTTTCGTAGAATGAATCTCTCAATTTCGGATTGAACGCGAAATTCTTTCTGATCTAATTAATCACTAGTAGATAATTCTTATCTATCTAACGAGGCCGAACAACCATAAAAATAGGAAAACAAAAAAAAACCTAATAGAAAGCTTCAATAACAAGTTACATTTATTTTAAATCAAGAGGAAAAAAACTAATCGAAGGGGTACGACTAAAGAACAAAGAAGATGTATTAAGCTAAAGTTTGTAGAATTGATATGCGAATTAGAATTGGGACGAGAACAGAGACGGTCACTGTAAAAAAAAAATTACCAATGGATTATTATAGTAAGAAGAATATACTGTAGCTATTGAGTATTGGCGATTTAGGTTCTTGACGAGGCTTTCATTGACTTAAGAAACACGTAACCGAGAAAGTTAATATGGGCCAAGCCCAAATCAGGTCCAATTGATACGTTATAAAAACAAAATTCTACGTAAATTTTCTCTACAAAACTTTTATTTTTTTTTTTACAAAACTTTTATTTAGCTCTTTCTTCAGTGTTTTCTTCACCTATCTCTCTCTATTGATAAAGTTATGAAGTTTCTCGTCGAGATTCTAAATGGCTCATCGTTTGAGATTGAAGTGGATTACAGAGATACACTGTTAGAGGTCAAACAAAAGATCGAGAGGTCTCAACGTATTCCTGTTTCCAAACAAACCCTTATCGTCGACGACATTGTTATTCTTCGAGAAGATCTTAACGTCAAACAATGCCAGATCGTCCACAATTCTCATATCCAACTCGACGTCTCTGCTGATGATGATAACCCTAATCATAACGATGACGATCAAATGCCGCAAACCGAGCAATCTCCAGCACCATTGCTTTCAGCGGAAGAGTACTTTGTGGGACAAGAGTGGCCTTTGACAGAGGAAGAGATCAGAAAGATTTATAGCTATCGCCCTGAGACAACACAAGGGATCAGTAAGGTTCAAGATTCGCAGGCGATGGTAAGAAGCGACAAGAACGTCTCGACGAGCATGAAGGTTGAGAGCAACAACAACAATGATCAAGTGCAATATCCACCGTCGTTGCTCAATATTCGCCTTGCAAACCTGCGAAGATGAGGGGTCTACGAGATCTTTGGAAATCTTTCATTATTATCTTCAATGTGTGAAATTTTTATATTTTTCTTTATCTTCAGTGTGTTTAGTATTTATTTTTAAGTTAGTTTAGATAATTATAGATTCTTTAGATTTTATCAAAAGGTTTTGGTTTTTTTATTTTTAATAAATAGCTCATTATATCTCGTTATTTTATGAAGTTGGTGTTTAGTTGAGATATAATAAAAGAGGAATGATAAACTAATAAGCATATGCATAATATCCATGTGTCAAAGATAATAAAAATCATATAAAACATCATTAAAAATCCTCTTAAGCAAAATTCCTTTCTTGATTGTAAACACCAAACGTAAACTTTCCGATTGCGTTACCCTTCGACGTTTGTTTCAACTTAGGGGCTGTTCGTTTGCTCATTTGGAATATGTATTAAATGCTCCATCCAAATGATCTATCTAGCTAATCCATCTGAATGATGTTCGTTTATATTTTTGGTGGTTCATCTGGATGATCCATCTAACAACTTTTGGTTAAAACTTTGTTTAATTGGTTGAGAACCATTCTCGTCTAGATGCTTTTGATTAGAATGACTAAAATGCCCATGTTTTCATCTAATTATATTTTAATTCTTAATCTTAACTATATTAATTTTAATTATTGATCAAATATATATTTACAACCAAACAAATTTCAGATTATTATACATTTGACATTTATAAATTTTCATTTTCATGAAATTAATTTTTTTTATTAGAACCAAAACATATGCATATGTTATGAAATTAAAGAACAACCAACATTGTTACCAAACATAAACTCCAAAAAATCATATTATAACTTCTGATCCTGATTGCAATATAGAGCAATCGTCACATTTATATCAGCGTATTCAAATTCTGAAACAAAAACAAAGCAATCGTCACATTTATATCAAAAATGGTCTTTCCTCAAGCCAAGAACAACAATACCCGTAAGACCATTCATCGCCATATACCTGCACAAAGACACAAGAAAATAACAAAATCATGAACAAGAATAATCAGATGATATACAAACCAATAAGCTAAAGTACCAATCTTATTAGTATTTATAGAAAGACGTAAATTTACGTGACACAATTAAAATGCCGTAAGTTTACTTCTCTGCCAAAGAAGCTAAAAAAACTAAAATCACTATTCGTCTTTGCCACTAAACCCGTTTGTAATGTCAAAATATTATTCTCTGCCACTAAACTCTAAAGAAACATCATGCATTCTCCACTAGTCAACCAAAAAGAGAGCATCTATATAAGAGAAACACCAATAAGACCAGAAAAAAAGAGAGCATCCATATGATTTCTCCACTCATTTAGAATCTCAAAAAAACTACAACACAAAACTCTTAAGATTTCTTCAAATCATTGAAATTTGAAAAGCAGCCTGAGAAACATTGAAAAACTAACAAAGATTCAGAATTTTCCTTTGATGGCATAAGCAAAGATTCATGACCAAAAAAAAAAAAAAAGATTCATGACCAGACACTGTTGCAATTACAAAGCAGACTGCTACTAGTTGACGTTGAAAAACACTCAACTAGTATTAAAAAAACAAGTCGTGACCCAAAAAGACCTCTTCTTCATCACAAGTCAGTTTCCAATTTTCTCAAAATCTTAAATCATTCTCTCAAATCTCTCAACCGTGATCAAGGTAGATTTCTGAGTTCTTTTTTCAGTTTCTTTGAATTGTTTCGTATCTATCCAGATCTGGTATTAGTTTCTTGATCGGATTTGATTCTTGTTTGTGCGATCGAATTTGTCGATTAATCTCAATTTATTTCTGAAATACAGATGCAGATCTTTGTTAAGACTCTCACCGGAAAGACTATCACCCTCGAGGTGGAAAGCTCTGACACCATCGACAACGTTAAGGCCAAGATCCAGGACAAGGAAGGCATACCTCCGGATCAGCAGAGGTTGATCTTCGCCGGAAAGCAGTTGGAGGATGGTCGCACTTTGGCGGATTACAACATCCAGAAGGAGTCGACCCTTCACTTGGTGTTGCGTCTCCGTGGAGGTATACAGATCGTTGTCAGGACTTTGAGCGGCAATTATATCGTTTTTGAAGTTGAGGGCTCTGACACCATTGACAACGTCCTGGCCAAGATCCAGGACATGGAAGGCATTGCTCCGGACAAGCTGCGTATCATCTTCGAGGAAACTGAAAGCAGCTCTGAATCTGATGATGAATAAGCATATGCCTATTATCGATGTGTCAAAGATATGCATATTAAAATCCTCTTAAGCAAAATTCCTTTCTTGATTGTAAACACCAAACCAAAACTTTCCGATTGAGTTACCCTTTGACTTTTGTTTCAACTTAGCAAAAATATTTTAAAGTAAGCTAAATTTGTTTTTTCTTTTGTTTTTTCTGTGTGATGATGTGATCTCTAAATGAAATATATTTTTCCTATATTTTTAAAAAATTGTTTATTCTCTTTTCTACCTCCCAATCTCCTTCTTCGTTCTTTAATTTGCTTATATTTGCATTTTTTTCTTTTTTAAAAAATTCTACTCTTTGTTATAGTTAACTTTCATATAAATTTTGAAAAAATCTAATCATTTTAAACATTTAATTTACTAGTCATTTGGACTCAAATCTTAGTTGCAACAAAACACGATTTGGATACACATAGACATACATTGATGAGTTCCTTTTTGTGCTCTGTTTCAAGTTGCAGAGTCGGAAAAAAAAAAAAAAAAAAAAAAAAAAAAAAAAAAAAAAAAAAAAAAAGTTGCAGAGTCGGTTAAAACAGACTAACGGTTTCTCCTCTCATATTATGACACGTGTCATATGAGGAGTTCCTACCAACGGTTTAGATTATTCGATGAGGCTTTCATTGACTTAAGAACCACGTAACCCAAGAAATATGGGCCAAGCCCAAATGAGGTTCATTTTGATACGTGAAAGAAATGATATAAAAACCAAATTATGCGTAAACTTACGATTACAAAACAATCACTTGCTCTCTGTTTCTTGACTCTCTCTTCTTCACCAGTCACCATTGATCTTGAAACACCATTGATACAGTCATGAAGTTTCTCGTCGAGATTCTGGGTGGTTCATCGTTCGAGATTGAAGTGGATCGCAAAGATACATTGTTAAAGGTCAAACAGAAGATCGAGAAGTCTCAACGTATTCCAGTTTCGAAACAAACCCTTATCGTCGACGGCATTTTTATTCTTCGAGAGGATCTTAACGTCGAACAATGCCAGATCGTCCACGATTCTCAAATCCAGCTCGAAGTCTCTGCTGACGAGAACACTAATCAGAACGGCAACGATCAAATGCCGGAAACAGAGCAATCTCCAGCACCGTGGATTTCAGTTGAAGAGTACTTTGAGAGGCAAGGTTGGCCTTTGACAGCCGAAGAGATCAGAAATATTTACAGTTATCGACCTGAGACAACGCAAGACATCAGTAAGAATCAAGATTCGCATGTGACGGTTGGGAGCAGCAACAAGAATGATCATCAAGTGCTTCATCAAACAGAGCAATCTCCACCGTCAAACTCATTCAAAGAGACTTTTAACATTCAAGATTCGTCTGTGAAGTTTGCGAATAAGAACAACAACGATCTAGTGCCTCCACAGTCAAACTCAGTCAAATATATCACTAAGAGCAACAAAAGAGGCCGGCCGAAGAAGAGGAAGATGGTAGTAGGTGTGTCGCCATATTCTGGTATGAATGAAGTCCTGAAGAATATTCTGCTGACTGTGATATATACTGTTGGACATGGGCCTTGCCCCATATATGTTAGGAGGCCCAAAACAAATGTCCACAAGCTTATAACGGGCCCTGGTCACTATAAAGAGCCCACTAAGCCTGGAGGGGCAAAACCGTCATTTACAGAGGAGACAGAAGGAATTTAGGGTTCCTGTTCCCTATAAATAGCCAAAATCACTATTGGGAACAGGATCCGATCCAGAGGTTATTAACTAGCAGATAAGAAGAATCGTCGCCTAGCCCGAGTTTCGCCGCTTCGCTCGTTTTCGTATTCTGTCTTTCTGTTTCGTACGTTAAGTGTTCGGCTCGGCGGATAGTCTATAACCGCCGCGGCGAAACTTGCATCTTGTAATCTCTTGATCGCTTATATCGTTAATAAAAGGACTAGCTCCGTTCACCCCCAAAAATCTCGTATATTATTATTGTTACAACCTAGGTACAAACAATTGGCGCCCACCGTGGGGCGAGTTCGAAGCTATCCTTTTTTGACGAGACAATGAACACCGAGTCTCAGACAATCCGCGACGACATGACGGACACCTCGAGCGACAGAGGAACTGACACTGGCGCGCCAACAGCGCCCGACGCGCCGGGGCTACCTCCGCTGAACCCAGTAGCTGCCCGTTCCGAGCCAGATCCCTCGCGCCGCCTCTTGTTCACACCTAACACAGGGATGGAGTCTGATGCTGCTCACGCCGTCCCGGCTCCTGGCGCACCTACCGCACTCGCCGCAGCAGCCGCAGCTGGAGCAGCCGCCGCAGCAGGAGCAACCGAAGGCACCGCACCAGGACGTGCCCGAGCCGCGCACCAAGGCACCCACATGGACGATCTCGTTCAGACCATTCTGGATAGGCTCGACAACCAAGACGCGCGGACCACAGAACGGATCGACGCCCTCGTAGCCGCACAAGTCTCTTCCCAGAGCCAGATCGAACGACTACGACGCCGAAGACGTACTTCCCACGAAAACCAGGAAGAGCTGCAGTCCCCACGAACCCCGGTAGCCGAACGTATAGAGATTCGACGACGCGGCCCAGCATCTATCATCGTCGGATCCATCGACGAACATCCCCGTCAGAATCTGCCGCACGGCGAAAACATACAGAGCGCCCAGAATCTGCCGCACGGCCACGTCATGCAGAGCGCCCAGAATCTGCCGCACGGCCACATCATGCAGAGCGCCCAGAATCTGCCGCACGGCCACATCATGCAGAGCGCCCAGAATCTGCCGCACAGCCACATCATGCAGAGCGCCCAGAATTTGCCGCACGGCCACATCATGCCGAGCTCCCATCATCTGCAGCACGGTCACCATCTACATAGCGGCCGTCATCCTCCAGCTGGGCCTGATCTGCCGAGTGGGCACAACCTACCCAGCAACCAAATCATGGATTCCGGACGACTCTTGCCTGGCCGCCACATTGACGACAACCGTACTCACGATCAGGAGCTTACACGGCTGAACGCCTTAATAAAAGACATGTCCTCAAAAATGCATCGGGCCACTACCGCGGCGCCGGAACTAGAGAAGGTTTTGGAAGAAACACAACGCTCGCCGTTCACAGCGCGCCTCTCGGCTGTCCATGTTCGTTATGTTAACAAAGTTAAACTGGTCCCATACAATGGCCTCACCGACCCAAAAATCTTCCTCAAATCGATGTGCATCGCCATCAATCGCGCGCATTTCACCGCCGAAGAAAGCGACGCAGGGAGTTGCCAATTGTTCGTGGAAAATCTGACAGGGGACGCGCTAAATTGGTTCTCGCGACTCGAAGTCAACTCAATCGATAGCTATCGCGAACTAACGGCCGTTTTCCTACAACACCACTCGGTGTACATGATCAAGGAAGCCACGAACGCCGATCTGTGGACCATGTTTCAGAAAGAGGGCGAACCGCTTAGAACATTTATTGAGAGGTTCAAGAAGGTTGTGTCTAACATAGCCATTACCGACGATGCGGCAATCGGCGCCCTTCGAAATGCATTATTGTTTGGGTCACGATTCAGGGAAGATCTTATTATCGCTCGGCCCTCCACACTGGACGATGCTCTGCGCCGAGCCAACCGTTATATCGAGATCGAAGAAGAGAAGGCCGCAATGGTGGACCGCCAACCAAAAGCATCTAACTCGAAGGACAAAGCTCGCGACGAACACTATGAACCTCGACAGCATTATGATCGCGAATATGCGAAGAACGATAAAGGAAAGAAAAACTCGTCATTCGCCATCAACGGCCAGGACCCAAAATCAAACACCCCTTGGAACAAGTATTACCGCGACTCTGACACGAAGCGTTCTTATTGCGAGTTTCATAAATTCGCGGGTCATTCCACCGACGATTGCCGACAACTCCAGCTTTTGCTGCTTTCTAAGTTTAAAAACTGTAGCATAGAAGTCGAGCACGAGCGACGCCGTACGACCTCGCACAAGGACAATGCCTACGGAGGCGACGACGCTGATCAGCACAAACGTGACGATAGCGAGCGCAATGAAGAACCCAATCAATTAGAGCAGGCACGCAGAGCCGTCCAAACGCTGCCTGGCCCACCTAAGAGGAATCACGACGCGCCACGGCAGGACGAAGCACATGTCCCTCGGCGGAAAATTCACATGATAATGGGCGGCCTAACAGCTTGTCGGGACTCAGTCCGTTCAATCAAAAATTATCGACGCCAAGCAGAGGTGCAGCGCGATTGGATTGCCAGCAGCACGCCAGCCTTTGCCAATACCGACCCGATCACATTCACTGAAGCCGACGCATCCGGCCTCACAGGGCCGCATAACGATCCATTAGTTGTCGAATTAATAATTGGGGAAAGTGCTGTCACCAAGGTGCTTATTGACACAGGCAGCTCAGTCAATGTTATTTTCAAAGATGTCTTAATACAAATGGAGGTGGATCTACGCACGGCTGAACAAGACATTCAACCACTAACTGGATTTGACGGAGACACGGTGATGACGGTTGGAACCATTATGCTTCCCATTTACGTTGGTGGTACGATGAATTGCTTCAACTTTGCTATCGTCGACAAACCTATCGTCTACAACGTTATCCTCGGAACACCTTGGCTGCACAAAATGAGGGCCGTCGCCTCGACTTACCATCAATGTGTTAAATTTCCGACCATGCGTGGCATCCACACGTTATACGGCGATCCGTCAGTTGCGCGTACTTGTTTTCTCGTCGAGAAACGGCTTCGAAACGCCAAGGTACTCGTCATTGCCGAGCCTAGCCATCCGCGAGATGCACGACAAGCCCCTCATACAGAATCCGTCATTCAGGTTAACATCGATACGACCGACCCTGCCCGTTGTGTCGGCGTTGGCGCCGATCTTCCGCTAGTCTTGAAAGATGAACTCGTGGAGTTCTTACGCCAGAATGCTACGACCTTTGCTTGGACAATCGACGATATGCCTGGAATCGATCCCAACGTAACCTGCCATGAACTCAATGTCGATCCGACTTTTAAGCCGATAAAGCAGAAACGAAGGAAGCTAGGTCATGATCGTACTGCCGCAGTAAATGAAGAGGTAGCAAAACTGCTCGCCGCCGGGTCTATAGTCGAAGTCCGTTATCCCGATTGGTTGAGCAATCCTGTGGTCGTCAAGAAGAAGAACGGCAAATGGCGTGTCTGCGTCGATTTCACCGATCTTAATAAAGCATGCCCGAAGGATAGCTTTCCTCTCCCGCGAATAGATCAGGTCGTCGAGGCCACAGCTGGCAACGAATTGCTCTCATTCATGGATGCGTTTTCTGGTTACAATCAAATCCTTATGCATAAAAATGATCGGGAGAAAACAGCATTCATTACCGAACGAGGAACCTTCTGCTACAAAGTCATGCCATTCGGGTTGAAGAACGCCGGAGCAACGTATCAACGACTAGTTAATCGAATGTTCGAAAAGCAGCTCGGCCGAACGATGGAAGTCTACATCGACGACATGCTCGTCAAATCAATCCAGGCCGCCGAACACGTCAATCATTTGAAGCAGTGTTTTGAAGTACTCAACAAGTACAACATGAAGCTGAATCCTGCCAAGTGCACATTCGGCGTAAAGTCAGGAGAATTCCTGGGATATCTCGTCACCCAGCGCGGCATAGAAGCTAATCCGAAACAAATCTCGGCACTCATCAATCTTCCTTCCCCAAGGAATACCCGCGAAGTTCAACGTCTCACCGGGCGTATCGCAGCGCTCAACCGATTTATCTCTCGGTCAACTGATAAATGTTTGCCTTTCTACCAACTATTGCGAAGTAACAAACGATTCCAATGGGACGACAAGTGCGAAGAGGCTTTCAAACAGTTGAAAGATTATCTATCCTCTCCCCCGGTCCTAGCCAAGCCGGACCAGGGAGAAACACTATACCTCTACATCGCTATCTCCGGGTCAGCAGTCAGCGGGGTTCTGATCAAGGAAGACCGAGGTGAGCAACGTCCTATCTTTTATGTGAGCAAGACCCTTGACGGTGCTGAACTTCGCTATCCTACTCTCGAAAAACTTCCCTACGCAGTCGTCATCTCGGCCAGAAAACTCCGACCTTACTTTCAGTCCCACACCGTTGAAGTCCTCACGAATCAACCTCTACGAACGATTCTTCACAGTCCAAGCCAATCCGGCAGACTCGCAAAGTGGGCCGTCGAGTTAAGTGAATTTGATATCGAATACAAGACTCGCACATGTGCCAAATCCCAAGTCCTCGCCGACTTTCTCGTCGAACTCTCTCCCGAACTCGAACCAGGCGTCCCCCAAGTCGAAAAATGGACATTGTATGTGGACGGAGCGTCTTCCAAGCACGGTTCCGGAGTCGGCGTTCGCTTAGCCTCGCCAACGGGCGAGATACTCGAACA